AATCCGAATGAGTGGTTCAGATGTTGCCTGTCCTCTCCTTAAAACATCCAGGTCAGCCGAGACGATGAATGGAAACGGAGTGTGGGATTGAACCCACAAATTTTTCACAACCCTCCCAGACCTGGGAGCACTGCCACCCATGCTCACTGACAGTTACACTCAATGCACTGCAAAAGTGATCACAAACTGTGAGCTCTTGTTCCATTCTTCACTCATCAAGTTCCAACTTGAAATTAATCAGAACCTGATGGATTTCTGCGTCCGCTATTAATTCATTTATTAGTCTGGCGTGGTAAACCTGGCAGTTTAGGTTCAGAACTTTTGCAACTGCTGACATGGTTCCCACTTTGCGAGGATAGTGCCACAGCCTCGATTCCTCAAACTCTGTTCCCAAACCGGCAGCCAACATTTACACCATTTGGGAGGAATGTTCGGGGGTGGGGGGCGTTTGGTGGTGTATGTGGGGGAAACGGTGTTGGTTTATATATTGCAAATCCATGGCTCGAGGAAACATCCGCGCAAAAGTGGTTGGGTTTCCTTTGCTGTCCTTTGGATTGTTAAATGGAGGCATGAATTTGCATAAAAGGTGGACAAACTAAATTGGAACTGGCGAGCTGATTCAAATCATAGAATTCCTACAGTGTGGAAGCAGGCCATTCTACCCATCACCAAGCCTCCAAAGAGCAGACACATCCCCCTACTTTAACCCTGCGTTTCCCACGGCTAATCCACCTAACCTGCACATCACTGGATTGTGGGAGGAAACCAAAGCAGCTCAAGGCAGCCCACGCAGACACAGGGAGAACGTGCAAACTCCACACAGACAGTCACCCGAGGCTGGAATCGAACCCGGGTCCCTGGCTCTGTGAGGCAGCAGTGCTAACCGCTGAGCCACTGTGCGTGGAATGTTTGAAGTGAGGGGGGTGGAGTGCTGGGCGGAATGAGGACTGCAGTGCTGATTTTTGGGGGGCTTTCTTACAGTTGTAACTGTCGTGATTGGAACGAGGTCAGTCAGGTGGATCCGTTGAATGTGAGTTCCCTGATTGGAGGCTGTTAAGCTGGTCCAATCAGGGAGTCCTGGCTGACAGATAGGAACAGGAGTGTCAGGGGCTCTGTTCACCCTGGGAGCCAGCTCTGAACTAGTTGGGTCAGTGTTATGTACTATGTATGTGTAAATAAAGGGTGATGGGATACTAGCCTTCAGGCAGTTATTTCAGTAACAAAGTCCCATATCAGAGAGCACTTTCTCCCAAGTCACATTAATGGGACTGGAAATGTTTCAAAGTCTGCAATCCTGATGCAGGAGCCAAACATACTGACATCTAATTGGTAACTGATAACTCTACAACTGTATAAAAGCCCATAAACCTCCATGTTATAAGTGTTACTCCATGTAGGAATGTTCCTTCAGAAAACCATAATTGAATAATATTGACTCATCCAGCATAATCAGGTAATACTGAAGGGTCACCGGACCCGAAACATTAACTCTGTTTTCTCCTTCACAGATGCTGCCAGACCTGCTGAGCTTTTCCAGCAACTTTGTTTTTGTTCCTGAATACTGAAAATGTATTCATCCTTGGGAGCATGAGTAGATGGTAGAACTTAGTTAAAGTAAAACAAATATACAAAATTGTGCATTGACTATAGGTGAATGCCAAGATTATGCTTAGCTTTCATTTCACATTTAAATGAGTTTCATCTAATTGCCAATCTAGGTGTCACATTCATTTCATAATATCAAATTGCTTTCAGGATCCTGTCATACCACTGATCAGTTCCAGTTTTCGTTAAAACTGGCAGAAGGCTGTAATGTAATAGATTACTAATTCATAAAAAATAACACTTCACCACATGAATAATGATGTTGCTGTTTTTACGCTGTAACAGTTGCTATAACACACATCAATCGCGCAATCATTTCATTTTCTGTTGACAATACCCACACGTTATAAAGGAATATGATTATCTTGTGATTGTTTCCAAGTCATGTCGTTTGTGTTGAGAATGTCGAAACATGAATAGTGCAATCAGAGTTACTGCTGCGTTCACAAAAAACAAATGGGACTGACATAACCTGCCGTGAATTTAATACAAAATAGACCATTCTGAATGGACCTCGGAAGAGAACAACACCTGCGTAAAGAATAAAGTATACTTCCGTTATTTTATCCTTAATACGTTTACATAGCAAACGACTCTGCAATGTCACTGAGGGTGAAATTGAATGCTGCCTGTCATGAAGGGGATTGGGAGCTGGGTCAGGCATGTAGGCACTGGGACATGGAGTCCACTACCTTCCCAGCTCCTCCTGACTGAGTCAAAGGTGGGAAAGGACAAGTCTGGCCTTAGTGTTTATCGAGGGCCACCTAAGGCTCTCAGCCTGTTCGGGCAATAGCGAAAAGGTGCACACCACATGGGCAGCTTTCCAGGTGTACCCAGATGCCTCAGTTGGCAACCCCATACGCTGTGAATAACCCCACTGGCAACATGGCAGTAACTGCAAGGAGACCACCCCAGCCCAGGCTGTTTGCCACTGTCACTGGTGACCTACAAACGCAGTAGTGACCATTGCTGACACATGACTCCTGCTGACGTGGAAGAGCAATGCCAGCTGTCCCACTCTTTGTGGCCGTGATGGAGGTTTCGTTTCGCAGTTTCACTGTGACTGCTGCCGAATGCATTTCGGTTTGAGACTAGAATTCTTTTAAATTTCCCAACACCTACCTGTTTTAAGTGACTCGCTTATCAATTTCCTTGGTTCTCTACACCTGGAAGATGGGCTGAATGGCCTGCTTCCACACTATAAGGGTTCTATGATCTGAATACAACATGAAGAGACAAAGAGAAACCAGGATGAAGACCAACGTCATTGAACTTGTGGAGTCCGGAGGCTCCAGCAGAATGTTGAATTGAAAGACAAGATGAGATTCCTCAAGCATGTGTTAGGTTAGGGGCAGCACGGTGGCTCAGTGGTTAGCACTGCTGCCTCACAGCACCAGGGAGCTGGGTTTGATTCCAGCCTCGGGTGACTGTCTGTGTGGAGTTCGCACGTTCTCCCCGTGTCTGCGTGGGTTTCCTCCGGGTGCTCTGGTTTCCTCCCACAGTCCAAAGATGTGCAGGTTAGGGTGGATTGGCCATGGGAAATTGCCCAGAGTGTCCAGGGATGTGCAACTCAGGTGGGTTATAGGCGGATGGGTCTAGGTGGATGCTCAGGGCTGGTGTGGACTTGTTGGGTCGAAGGGCCTGTTTCCACACTGTTGAGATTCTATGATTGGTCTCTGAGTGATGGCTAAACATCACCCAATTAAATTGGAAAATAAAAGGGGCTGACATAGGGTTCCTTAATGAGCCACTGAGACTCATCTCTGATTGGCCAACAGCACTCGGCTGGTTGGGCTTGTTCCACCAGGGTCCTGAACCCTGGAGAGAACCCAACAATAGCCACCTAAGTGCCTGAAGACTACATCATGACATTGGGCCTCCCCCGTGGAACTGATTGGGAGGAAGGCGTTGAGGTGTTTGTTGTAAGGTCTACAATCTGTCAGGCCAATTAAATCGCACCCTAAAAGTTCTAACAAATCCCAGTAAACAAGTATCATCCAATATTTTTGTCTGGCCTCTGTCAGAACCTAAAGACAAATGTCCACTGAACTATTTCTAGCTTCAAATTCCTAAAGTGAAAACATTCCATTGCAGGTGTTGTGCTCCTATATAATTTCTATATGGCTTCACTAGGTGTTCTCTGTTTTATGCTGTTCCGATGTTGATCCCTGGTTTTGGTGGGTTGAATTTGGGTGACAGATGAGACACCTGTCAAATCCTGAAAATTCCTAATCAGGGGCTTCTGACTTTAATTGTAAGTGGGGACTCACTGGGGGAAAACAGGCATGGCTTTTCCACAAGGTTAAAATGTCTTGCCATGTAAGAGTGAGAATTACCTTTACTGAGCCAGAAAGAGCCAGGAGTCCCCCTGGAGTCACGGACAATGTTAGCCTTCAGTGTTCTGGATTCACCCTTCCTTCCCATAAGATTCTCCTAAGACCCCCTTCTAGGCTGTCTAGGGAATGCCTGCTCTTCCTGTTCTGACATCTGTTCGGTATCCTTTTCATACCTCCATTCCTGCAGGGAAGTGGATCAACTGTATGAAGAGAGTTATAAGGAGAAGCTGCATAGGCTGGGACGTTTTTCACTGGAGTGTAGGAGGCTGAGGGGTGACCTTATAGAGGTTAAAAAATCATGAGGGGCATAGATAAGGTGGATGGCAGGTATCTTTTCCCTAGGGTGGGAGATTTCAAGACTAGGAGGCATATTTTTTAAGGTGAGAGGAGAAATATTTTAAAAAAGTCAAGAGGGGCATTTTTTTTTATACAGAGATTGGTTTGTGTGAGGAATAACCTTTCAGAGGAAGTGGTGGATACAGTTACAACATTTAAAAGACATTTAGGTAAGTACCTGAATAGGAAATATTTGGAGGGATATGGGCTAGGCGTGGCATGGTGGGACTAGGTTACTCTGGGATTATGGTTGGCATGGACTGGTTGGATCGAAGGGACTGTTTCCATGCTGTATGACTCTATTACTGTATGTAAATGAGTTAAAATACCCCAGAACTGCAGGCAATGTGAACATTCACCTCACTCTTTTGATGTTTGGGAGGGTAACCATACATTTTAAGGTAGAGCAACAAAGAAATAAAGCCTAAATAATCAAGATTATTCATGGACATGAAGCACACACACAGAATTTTTAAATAAATTCATTTTGAGATTGGTAATTGTTTGCAAAGCCACAACAACCTTTGCAATTATAGTTGCAATCTCGTTATTGAAAAGGTCAAATTAACAATCGCATTTGGAGAATTCGTCACAAGTCACAGAGGGATAATCATCAAAATGAAGGCGAGTGTATAAAAGCCTTCCATCAGAGTGACGGATTGGTTATAATTAACTGTTACATTTCTCTTTCAGAAACGTTGACCAGTCTTCGGCTTGTAAGTGATGGCAAATTTTGGGAGTGAGGGGCAGGACCACAAAATGCTGTCACCCGCTTCCTGCTCTCTACCAACAGCCAATCTCCAAGAGAAGAGACACAAACAGCAGGAGTGTGTTTCCCAGGGGAAAGGTATTGTCATCCATTTAACTTCTCCAGCAAGGCATGGAGACTGGGAGAGATCAGAAGGAAAGGAATTGGCCTGCTCAATGGCTAGGGAGGACAATGGAATAACTACGGCAGAGGAGAATGAAGGAATAGCAGAAGAAAATGTTTCTTACTCTGAAGAACGCATAAACCTACCAGCTTCATCGCTCCCATCTTCTCCTTCAATTTCTGGATTTTTAGGCGAATTCTTTTTTCCAACCGTTTCTTCCCCTTTAGCATCTTCAGTAAACTCCTGTGGTTCTTCCGAAACAGCGCCTTTGATTAGCCTTGTCAAATCCCTGTCAACAGAAATCGAGACCAAGGATGTGTCATCTCTGAAACCGAAGCCTTTGCTTAGCCTGGTCAAGTCCATCTCCACTGAAATCTCACGTCACGAACCAGAGGTTACCCAGTCAAAGTCAGACTCAAAGCTGAACCTGTACCTGTGGCACCAGTTAACCCAGCCCAGGGGAAGAAATGGAGATTCCAAGACAGCTCCACCATCGCCACTGCTTTCACCAGCCGAGAGCAAAATTAGTTTCTTCAAGGTTCCTGAAGTCGAAGCCAAGCTTGAAGACACCAAAAGGAAGTTCTCCGAGGCTATCCAAGAGCCATTGAGCATGCTAAGTAAGATAATTGGAGATGAAAGTAGTGGAAGCCCCAAATCTAAAGCATCACAATCAAACACCAGTAGCACAGATTCCTTCTGTTCCCCCAACTCTGAAGACTGCAGCAATGATGCATATAACAAGAACAAAAGGCCTGGGTTTGATAAGTTCAGAATGGAGATGCTTAAATCAGAAAAGAGAGAGGCTGGTAGACCACCTCATACAGAAATGTCTTCTCCAGGAAGACATGCAAAAGGGAAACAGAGGAAACAATATCTGCCCTTTCCACAGGGTTATGGGGACACCAGTAACCCAAGGTATGAGATCTGTTCGGATGGAGATGTGCTACAGATTATAGAAACTGAGCCCAATGAAGACAACATGTGGTGTGGACATGATACCACATACTCCTATTCCAGTCAAGCCTTGAGTCCACTACAACCTTCTCAAAAAGTGCCAAGTAAAACTCTAATGTGTTTTGCCGCTCTAGCCTACAGCTATTTTGTATTACCGCTGCCATCGTTCTTCTCTGGCCTCTGCGTTGGACTTGCCTGTGGATTTATAATGGGCCTACTCATCATTTCACTGCAGACACCAAGGCTTCCACAACCCATCCACATAATCCCGCTGGGTGGTGAACCTCTGCAGTCGGAGAACATAATTAGGGAACCCAAGGATTCCGAAATTGTCAAGGTAAAGGGTTGCAATTCTAGTTATTATAGTTGGCTTTAACATTTTACGCATCGTCGTTGAATCAAAATCTAGAAATTCCCTTCCTAACATAGAAATGTAGAAAATAAGTGAAGGAGTAGGCCATTCGGCCCTTCAAGCCTGCAGTACCATTTAATAGGATCATGGCTGATCTTGCAATTTCAATATCCCACTCCCGCCTTCTCTCCGTACCCCTTGATCCTTTGTCCAGCTGCCTCTTGAATATATCCAACAAATTGACCCCAACAGCTTCCTGTGGGAGAGAATTCCACAGGTTCACAACTCTCTGAATGAAGAAATTCTTCCTCATCTCAGTCCTGAATGGCTTACCCCCTTATTCTTAGACTGTGAACCCTAATTCTGGACTTGCCCAATATTGGGAACATTTTTCCCCCATCTAGCCTGTCCAGTCCCATCAGGATTTTATGCATGTCTATGAGATTCCCCCCCTCATTCTTCTAAATTCCAGCGGTACAAGCCCAGTCGATCTTTCTTCATATTTCAGTGATCATTTGGACTGCAGCAGTTCAAGAACACTTCTCATCACCATCTTCTCAAGGCTTGAGCAATAAGTGATGGATTAGCCAGTGTCTCCCACATCCCATAGATGACTACATCTTTAAAATCCTCAAGAGATAGTAAGAACTGCCGATGCTTGAGTCAGAGATAATACAGTGTGGAGCTGGAGGAACCGCAGGCCAGGCAGCATCAGAGGAGCAGGAAAGTTAACGCTTTGGGTCAGGACCCTTCTTCAGAAAAGGGTCTCTTACCTGCCCCACTCTCTTTCTTCCCCCTGCTCTCTCTTTTCACCCCTGTCTCCCTTCTGAAAAATGGTCCTGACCCGAAATGTCAACTTTCCTGCTCCTCTGATGCTGC